GGAAGGCCGAGTGACTTTTACACAATCGGTGAACAGTTCAATACCGCTGGGATTAAACATCTGATTTAATTTCCTTTTTGGGGGCATACGTGTTTATTGTTAACAAATTTCTATTAATATTTAACGATATTAACATACTGTCTTATCGTACATGTACACAAGTCTCAGGTTAACATATGGCTAGGTACACTGCTAAAACGGTTAACGTTTATGCCTATTTTGAGTTCAGTGATAGGGTTGTAAAGTCGGAATGTCTTATCGACTAATGACCGAAAACTATTTTTTTTATTTATTAAATCAATGTCTTGGACCCACTTCAGGCTCAATTTCCCATATTCATAGTCTATTCCAAAGGTCCACTCGATCTATACGGGAAAGCTGTGTTAAAAAAAAATGTAAATAGGTCACGTTATTATTTTTTAACGTGGCGGTGACATTCGTTGGTTATTGTCATTGTATTCTTTAACGGCCCATCGACAATTTAAGTCAGTTAGGGCCCAATAACAATGTCAAAAATAGACATTCATAACAAATGAATATATGAAAACGAAAGACAAAAGGTTTAAATGTGTAAAAGATGTCAAAATATATTAATAGCAAACTTATTATTTATGAAATAAATCATATATTATTATAGATAATAATCATAGATTGATGTCACATAGACTGTATCAAATAAACGTTTAATAGAGGGTACATTGTAAAATATGTCATATATTTGTTTGCAATCAGCGCATTTATTCATAAAGTGTTTGACTGTATATGGTTGATTAATTGCATAACAATAAGGTTGGTCTTCCTTGTGTAAAATGTAACTATGTGTGATGAAGGTATGTCCTATGCGCAGTCGCGAGAGGACAACTTTCTCTCTGTGGTCTGCTTTACCTTTTGCGCATGAACCTACATTAGGTAGTTACACAATACGTTAACACCCTTTACTATTATGCATATTATTATATTGTTTGACTGTGAAATACAATGACGGAAATAATGATTATTGATTGCTCGGTTAACGAATGGGCCATCAAAGAGAGTGATTTATTAAGCGAATTACTTATCACAGTTTGTATAATTCCTCTGTTTTATAGCATTTGGACCATGGAGTAATATTTTAAGTTCCATATAAAAGTGATAAAATCGCCTTAGCAGTAACTGTTTATCATTATAAAATATATGCACAGATGCCGATATTCACACAAAGACATATTTGTTGGTACCTCAACATTTTATAATAATCTTATTTATTTTATTATTTATTATCAATTTTTTTCCATGAATACAAGTTCTTCCTTATTCCGAGTTTATTCCTTTTGTTCAAATCAGAAGACATCGTCCGCGGCTCAAAAAACCATTTCTAACAACGTACACAAATAACTGTTTCGTGTTTGCGATATTTGTTCTCATGAAATTTTAGCTCGGAAACTGTCTCGCACATTTATAGATTTGAACTTAGTTTTGTGAAATAATTCGTTTTCGGTCAACCTTCTTGATGTTATATCATACCGGACTGTCACTTTACATTTCATGCAGTCGTATATGTAAAAGCTTTTAACAATTCAGCCATTCCAATTAAGGTTGCCATGCACGGACATTTCTAAGCGTGGACCTGTTGTTTTTTTTTTTTTTTTTTTTTTTTTATTGTTTGACGTCCTATTATTAGCAGCTGTCATATAAGTACATACCTCCTTATGAGTGATGCATGCGTACAAGTGATCTGAAGGTGATATGTTATTGTATTCGCCTCCTGGCGATAGCGAAACTCTGATACCAAGTTCGTAATGTTATATCACCGATATACCGTACCTATGGCACATGCACCCGCCATATTGTTCATATTGTACTGAAAATTGGTTAACTAGTTTTAATCACATGCAATGTTGAGCCCAAGGCAGGAAATAACATTTTGCTGTTATCTGACACACTGAAAGTTAGGCAGGGAATATAAACTATCATTGCCGTCCTTCTTTAGCCAACGTTTCAAACTAATTTGATATTGCCAGTAGATAGATAGTAGAGTGAGAAATTTAACATACGTTGCAATGGGGCAGCGATTTTGGTTTCTTCAATGCCCTTTCAGCAGAAGACCACAAAGAAAAACCCCAATTCTGCAGGAAATAATTTGCGCCTTTTACTCAATGAGAACATGGGCTTATTTACCCCGATCCTGCAGGGTAAAAGTTGACTTAAAACATACGTGCAACATTCCATAGAAGGCTCCAAATCAAAAATCAAACTAATTAGTCAGTTATAACATCCTCAGCGTTTCAACTATAACGAACAAAAATATCACGGATTTTATCCGATTTATGAAAATTTTCATTAAGTAACTTAATTCATGAGCCAAAGCTGTAGACTGATATAATATCCTTGCAAAGGATTTTAAACACAAACAATGATCGTATACCAGGTAATTTTTCGCTCGAACCCATGTTAGCATTAAAAACATTATGTTCTCAGTGGAGTATAACATATATATATATATATCATCAATCCATGAATCAACTTCCTACCGTTGAATGGTAGGACAGTTATTTTGCTTTTTTAATCATTCCCAGCTTCCATAATGCTTCATTACTGTAATCCTTATGGTTTCTGTTGACAATTAGGAACCCTTTCTCTTCGAGTACGAAGCTGTTGAAATAACTGTCAATCGCTGGCGCTTCTACGCCCGTCAAGGCATGCGTCTTCAAATATGACGGAGAAAACTCGCGTGTCGTTGGTCGACGAGTTAGGATCTTAATTAAAATTTTGTATCGTACATTTCTAAAGCGCAGCAAAATTCTAAGATATTATTAGATAGTCACAATATAGATATAAATATCAATACGTTCTACTTGAATATTTTATATCTGTATTTTTTTTTTACATTTACGTATATTTTGATCTATCGGAAATATATGCACAAATCGTTAACAAAAGTTGTCATTTCGTAAAATATTAAAATACGATACATAGGAACTCGGTCTTTTCATAATAATCACACATCTGGCTATCCCACTGTCCTAAAACGTGTTTGGAAATGGAAAGCTATCGATCTCTGTCGATACAAAGAAGGGTCGATACAAAATTAAAGCGGCTGAAGGAAGTCCCCAATCGGTAAATATATCGTAACAGTTTCTAGCATGTGACTACAAGTTCCGCTACAGTGAATTATCAATGTTTTATATTGGCATGTAACTTGTCTTATTTCTTATTGGTAAATTACTTTTCTAGTATTTGCAGGGAAATATGTCAAATGCTAGAAATGAATACAATCGAAAGGTTTAACCTAGTTACGGCACGAAAAAGGTACATCAAACGCTCTTCCGGAACAACATCCGCACATTATAGTTTTATTCCTAACTATACCTTTTTCTTTTCAGGAAAACCCGATTCACCCATACTCATATGTGCAAAGTTTGATAAGATCACAGTGGTATAATAAATTTGATGAATTGCGTGGCTTAAACATGCAAAATGCTGCAATATGTGAACATCTTTTTAAAAAATCGACTCTTATATTGTGATTTATTACACTTTTACCAGTGAAATATTTAAAAATGCTCCTTCTATTTTGAGTTAAAATATAAAAATGATGTTTAAATATCTTTTAAGTTTCACTAGGGAAAACTATCACTTGCACATCATCTGCTAACAATCACTGTTCTCTGACGGGAGCACACTGTTTAATTCAATATTTAACTTTCATTTTCATGGAATCTAGCATTTCTTGCTATTTGAACTGGGGAAACTCAAATAAAAGGAAACACGTGTCAGCGTTTCTAAATCCGAAGCAAGGCAAAGCGTTTGGCATAAATTATAAAAGAATCAGGGTTTGGTTTGGTTTAGGTTTATTTTGTTTAATGTCCTATCAACAGCTATGGTAATCCAAGGACATGCCTCCATGTGTGTTGTGTATGCGTGTTTGCGTGTGTATGCTTGAGATAGGGTATGTTGTTGTACTTGCCTCCTTGTGATAGCGCGGATCTGATGCTGACTTTATAGTGCTATCTCACTGAAATATCATGCCGCAGGCACCCAGCGCATGGTTGTATGTGACAGTTGTTAACTACAATTTACAAAGGTGGTGATGATATATTTCATCATCGGCATAAGTGGTGACACAACAACGTTTGCTTACTCTGAATCAGTTTAAATTCGGTGCTTAAAAGTATATCAACGCGTCGTGTTCCGAGTTGATATGACGGAACTTTTTCAGATATGAATTACAATAGCAATTTGGCATACTTTGTTAAAAATATGAACTAAAGCACCTGATTCATTAAAATAAGTTATGAAAGTAATTTGATAATGAGTGTTAATATTATATTTACTTTTTTTGCACATATAACTATAACGCGTGCTTGCGTGTGTGTATGCAGGAGACAGGGTATGTTGGTGTGCTTGCCTCTTTGTAATAGCGCGGATCTTATGCCGACATTATAGTGCTATCTCACTAAAACACCATGCCGAAGGCACCCAGCACAGCATTCCGTCCGGTCACATTATACTGACAACGGATGAACCAGTTGTTGCCATATTCCTAAATGCTGAATATAACAACTACGATTAATTGTTATCATTAGATGTATGGGCACATGGTATAGTGGTGTGATGTCCTAATTGTTCAAGGTTTAAGCCTAATTTATTCTTTGAATTACATACCCTTGTGGTTACTTATGTTCACTATATCTTATGTATGACTAAATACAACATGTTCGCTGTCATATTGTCGATACCTATTCTTTCTTTCAGGATTTTAAACACATAATGTGAACATGTGCTCACATTGAAACACTACAGTGAATATCAACTGTAGATCATGGCACTAATTCTTATCAATTTAACACTTCTCTTTGTTAAAAGTCACAGTCGTGTTTGGTTTTGGAACTACAACGTTAGCTGACATCAACACCTGTTATGTTCTCCTTTGTTCTCATACGTACATAAATCATTGTATTTCTAAATATTTTAACTGAAAGAAGAAGACGAAGACTACATCATTATTTTACATACTATAATTAGCATATCACGATGGTAACATTGGGTTATATTTTAAATGATTGGTTGTACAATAAATGGTATAATGAAATTACCCGACATCTCAAAACCGAAAATTAATTGATCTTGATTGAAAAACTCAACACGTCCAGTGACCACTTAATAACACGCCTTTAAAAGTCCACACGCTGAAAGTCCTCTGACGCTCTCCCAAGTAGATCCTGGTAGGAAACTGTTCCTGAACAAGTAACAATAAGATTCTCCGAAACAAATTTCATCATTAGCTACAAAAATAAAAACAGTAAAAACATCCTTTTACTAACTACTGAAAATTCCATAAACACTAAAGAAACACGCTATTTTAAAAATTTACAAAAAATCTTCAGTCTTGTTAAAAAATTACGGAGCAAAATGTAATGCGTCCGTCCTGTTGTGTAACAATCTCGTCGATGACGTATACAGGTAACATCTCTATACAGGTAAGAGCCTACAATACCCTAACTCTGCACGATCAAACGCATACTTAGTAAATACGTCTACCTAACTCCACTTAATTAAAATATAAAGAAACGAAATGTATTTCTAGTCACTTTGTCACGGAAGTGTTGGTCCTAACCACGGCGTTAGCTGTTCTTAATACCACACAAACTACAAGAAGCTCCATGTTAGCTCCACGTTAGCTGTTATTAATACCACACAAACTACAAGATGCTCCATGCTCAAGAACAACTTCTGATTACCTCCCTTCCGTCGTACCTGTTAAATATGAAATTAATATGTTTCTTACGTATATGACAAAGACCTCGCTTCTGTATCTGAATATTAAAACGCTAATTACCTAAAACACATAAATAGATGGAACTCAAATATTATAACAAATCATGTCATTATGATGTTTTAGTTATATGAAATTGGCAGAAAGCTGTTATTTATATTTAAGCAATTAGTGTGATTTTAAACAGTATTTCTGGAATTTTCTTTATTCCTGGAAGTGTTATTGGAGTTGTGCATAACTCTGCGATACAAATCTATATTTAATTGCCTATTTTAATATATTATTATGTCATTACATTTCAGATTTGCTTCTCTCTACTTCGATAAATAGAATTATATAGCAAATCGAATCCATTCAAAGACAGTAGTTGGTGTATAATGCAAAAAGTCGTTCATCAATTTGATTACAAATATAAACTGCCTTGCAAGATATGCATGTCATGATACAATAGCACACAGTCTTAACTAAACATACCTACTTTAAGATGTCCTGTTATTCCGCTTTAGTACCATGATGTTGTCATGTCTCGATAAGGAAATCTGTTAAAGTTAAGACAATTTCTTATTAAAAAACATACGATACGGTATTATCCTTTCATGTCTATTTGTAATTAGAAACATCTCTCTTATCAATAAGGATAATTATTAGAATTATAAGAATTAATAGTTGGTTTAATATGAGCCTAAAAATAATACCTCTGGAATAAACCTGTACGTTTAATGATTGATTTTGATACATCTTTAGTTACAGGTCGTAATGTTTCTGGTTATCGACATGATTTGTCAAGGTTGCTGATCCTGTTAAATTAAACCACACCATACATATATTTAACGAGTCAGTTATATTTGCATTTGATCTGGCATTATGAATAATAATTTTTTTCTGAACATATATAAAAAATGTTTATTGTTATTTGCGTACATGCACATACTAACTAAATTGTTGATTGGCATTGGCAATCGATGTTAATGTTGACTTACCCTACTTTGAAAAGACTGGTTCTGATGATCAGCCATAGACAACATTATTAAAGCCTTATCTTGCTATTTCTTTACTTACTTAGTTATCTTTACTTTTGTTCTGAACATTACTCGTCAAAGTCGATTATAATTTACCTATCTTACTTAGGTTTCTTCATTGTTTTTCCTCGACATCAATCATCATTGCTGGTGATAATTTTCTTAACGTACCTATAGTAGGTATCGTTACTCTGCTTCCCGACATCCCTCATCAGTGTTTGAGATAATTTACCTAACTTACATAGGTATTTTTAGAATGATTGTCGACATCATTCGTCATTGGTGACGATAATTTACGTAACTTACCTATAGTAGGTATCTTTACTGTTTCTCGACATCAATCATCATGTAGGTGATGATTTACCAAACTTGCTTAGGTATCTTAACTTTGATTCTCGACATCACTCGTCAATATGGATGATACTTTACATTACTTACTTAGATATATCACATTGTTTTCCAACAATCACTGACAGTTTTCTACACATTACATCTAGATGCAAGCTCTAGTAATAGATATATCAGTATATACTGCTTAAACTGCTTATTACAATTACTTTACAGTGTTTCTTAATAAGTATTTATTTTCACTTACCTGAGTCATCAGTGACTTCTCCAGATACAGCCATTTAGTTGTCGGGGCAACTAAGGGTGCCGTAATCCTTTCCGCTCATTTTCCTTGCATCACTTTGTCTGATATAGTGTTTGTCATTATCAAATTGTCAACTATGAATCTACTGTATTTAACACAACTCCATACACTTTATATGTACTAATATTCATATTGCACGTGAAGCTAGAATATAGTGTATCAAAATCGCACACAAATGTACAACACTATTCTGGTTCATGACAAACATACTTGCAATCAACAGAAAATTGCACATTGCACTTGATAAGCTATTTGTTATTTCACAATTTTCCTGCTAGCCACACCAGTAGTCTTTCTTTGTCAACAAATATTTTTTTCCGAAATAAATAATAGAATGAAATTTATAGATAAACAGTTTTGCCACACCGTCTAACGTGTTTCAACAGTCATATTAATATGCATGTGCTTATACCGTTCAGTATATAATATATATATAACATTCACATTTCATACATATATTTGATATCTTCCTATTACATAAATCCAATATATTTCCCTGAACCATGCATTACACATACTTGCATCAAAAGCTACTGAACACAATGCACAAATGTAATCTGCATAATTAATACATTTACGAACGAGTAAGTAATCTACAAACATATAAGACACACCTGTTTTTAACTCATGCAATACACAAACTTGTACGTACACACTTACAAATGAAAAAATATAACCTAACTCTTTCATTTAAATTGACACTGAATACAGTGCATTTGACGAGCCAACCTGTGATAATCACAATTGGTATCTCAAAACGCCAATAAAACACTGTATTCGTACAAGTACAAGTTACAAATGTAAGTAACACACCTTCTTACAATCAAACATGTGAACTACAAACCATCAAACAATAAAACCTGTTTGGTTTAGTTTAGTTTTAACATCCTATTAACAGCTAATGCCATTTAAGGACGTTCATTCATATGTGTAGTGTCTACATGAGGCAGGGTATGTGGTTGTGCTTGCCTCCTTGTGATAGCGCAGATCTGAAGCCGACTTTATATTACTATCTCACTGAAATACCATGCCGAAGGCACCCAGCACAACATTCCGCCCGGTCACATTATACTGACAACGGGTGAACCCTTCGTTGCCATTCCCCTTAATGTTGAACGTTAAGCAGGAGATAACAACTACCATTTTTAAGGACTTTGGTATGTTCCGGCCTTGAGACAGAACATATTGCCTTCCTCACCTAGGCGAACGCTCAACATTTAGGCCAAAGGTGAGGTGCTGCCAAGAAAGGTGCTAGGAAACAAAAAGGAAGTAAAAAGTAAGAAGAAAGAAAAAGATCCCAAATATTGCAATGGGTGTAGCATATGTATGAAAGTCGCTTTTGTGTCCCCAAATACCTCGAGGACAACAAAGCAAATCCCATATTTTGCAGGGGGTTAAGGCATTAGTCGCCTCGTACGATACATGCAGTGGGTAACAGCAGGTGTATTCTTTTCCCGAACCCCCACCTGTAATAAGTTATAACGACCTTACTCGCAAACATGTGGTACACGATTAACACACTTCCTTGTGATAAAATAAAATATCGAAGTGTCAAAAATAAATAAAACATCAAGCCAAAATATGAAAAGATCTACTTTCAAGAAAAATAAAAATAAAAAGGAAAAGCAAAAATAGGCTAAGGTGTTCTGTGTAAATCTAGGTCAAATAACAATAGCGCCACGTCATCAAAGGGAAAACTGAATAGTGACATATAAACTACAATACAAACCACACAAAACAAGTTCGAGCATGATGCCAGTCAAAACAATTGTCCTTACATTTCATTAACCTGTATCTCTCGAAATTCTCTGCTGTAGCATTTCCGTCAGCAGTTGACATGAATTAAGGAAATATGAGGAAGGGGACATTTACACGATTGGGAAAAAGATAGCATCAATATAATCAAACACCTTAGTAATAAGACGTCCCTATTGATCAGGCCGCAAAATGATGGAGAAACAACACGTTATTTTACATTATATCAACACACCGCTTACACCTGAATATGTAATACACAAACTGCTGTTCAACACTACTTGCAACCAAACGTAAATTGAACACATAAACTTACACTAAAAAGGAAGATAAACAAACCATATTGCACGCTATTCTCGGATTTACTCTACATGTAGCTATTACACCTCTGTTCAATCAACGGTTTTCACATTAGATACTTCTGTACTGAAGCAGTTTGACATGGTATCCGCCAAACACCGCCCAGAGGATATCCCTATCGTCCACTCCAGCAGCCCACGAGCAGTCAATATCTTTGTGTATGATCCTGATGAATTCACCACGGCCACTGACGAGAAGATGAAGGTTGTTGGCACAGTCCCCGATTACCAGGTTTCCGAAACTGTCATATGCCATGCTCAACGGACTAAATGGTTCAGAGCCGATATGTGCTGTTTGGAGGCTTGTTTTTGGAAGTTCACCAGCATAATCAAATAACTTATTAAAATTTCCGTCCATGATAACAACATGTGCTTTTCCATCTTTGCCGTAAGTGTTACAGCCCCGATCAATCACTGCTACGTTCTGGGTGACAGGGCACTCTGCAATTCTGAATGGGGACATCCAATATCCTGAGTTAGTGCGAACCAGTGTACCTCTTGTGGTAAACTTTGAGATGTGTTGGTTCATGCCCACAATGACATGATTACATGATGTTATACATATACATTTTGCGGTATCCTTGGTGGCGAATCTATGTATCAGTTTATCTGATATAAGCTCCAAGATATTGTCCTTTTCGTCACAAACCCAAAGATGGTTTGTAGTGGCAGACGTACCTATGTTGGTTGTACACGCATAATGTTTAATCTCCTTCATTGTTGCGCCATTCCTATCCAGGAGTGTTAACGTGGACTTTGTACTGCAGCAGGTCCACATCTGGCCATTTGATGCTGGGCATATGGAACCAATGGCGCATGACGACTCCCACTCGTCAACAACTGTAGTCACGTGATTAGCTGACTGTTTTAATCCAATAGTGCATGGCGGATCCTGATCTACGTTTGTGTTCCGTTTCATTATACCATGGGTATATGGGGAATCCTGTTTTTCAACCACATACGTTCGAAACAGCGTTTGCTGAACTTGAGATTGACATGCGGTTTCCGAAACTGTTTTCTGGTGATGTTGTTTTGATAGTGTACTACGATGTGATGCTGGTGTACCAGCTAATCCCAAAGCTAGCTCAATAAGATTATGAGGATTCGTATTTGGAGTAAAGTGCAATGTACCAAGGTTGGGTTCGAGGGGGACACTTCTAAGAGAACGGACCTCAACTGCGGTATCGTAAATGAGTATGTTACAACCGCGTTGTAGTGCTATATTGCATGCTTGCACTTGTTCTATTCGCTGTGTTTTGTAGATTTCTAGATCGTTTTTGTATGTTTCTAGCAGCTTTTTGTTATCCGATGTCATATTTTGGTACCTGGACAGTGTCTGCGAAGCAATTAGGTCGAGGTCCTGTTTTAGCTTTTCCGTTTGCTTGTTCAAGTCCTGCGAAAATTTTGTGAAACTGCTGTCGTTGTCGGCTAATTGTTCTTCAGTTGCATTGATGTGTCGATCAATTTGAACAAGTTCAATATTCTCAGTTTTTACCATAAATTTCTGAATGTCCTTTTTCTTACGATGAGTAATTTCACTTAAAGCACACACAAGATGACCCCTGTGTTCATCAGATAAGCAACGCATACACGCAAGCTGTTTACAGTCTTGACAGAAAAGATCCAATTTTATTCCTGTATGAGTAATGCATGTTGTTTTCCCTTTCATGCGGATTGGGATCTGCCCTTTATATAGCGAAGTGGTCATATTGATAAAGTTTGGGTTAACGTTGCCACAAGAACACCTGGAAAATGAGAGAAAAGACATTGTCTGATTCTGCTGATCACGTAGGATAAGTTTACGACACGGTGTATCAAAACAACTGCATCATACAATTAAATCACGTCTTTAAATAACTGGACTGTTAGCGCTTAACTAAATAGAACACAAATCAAATAAATCAAATACATGCTAGAGTCATACGTATATAGGCATCAATGCACTTTCAACTGAACACATACAAAATCACAATATGATATATATTAAATATATTACATAGTACAAATTTATTTATACATTTTTTTCATAAAGGTCAACAAAGAGGTTGTTTAACCTGTCTACAGCACTTGAGTAATATCGACCCGTATAAGTACAATTGTCGACACAATTAACAAAGTTTTTGGTTTTGATCCAAACTGTGAGCTCGACTTGTGATTAAAAAACCGTTTGACACCAAACAGGTGAATTATTTTATCCCACATGTTTTTTTTGTATTTTTTTACGGCCCATTGACAATTTCAGCCAATTTCTCCCACAGCTTAGTCAGTTAATGCAACAGATTTTCTAATGTGAGAGTTGTGACAATTTAAGTCTGCGTACAAGACACAAAAAGATCACTGATACACTTACGTCCGGTGACACCGTAATATATAATGGCGTATTCGGTATCGTTTGAAATCAAGAAAAAAATAGTCACAGTTTGCGTGTCGTCTGTAAAAAGGAACAAAATCGCATTTCATTTTTTTTCTTCAAATTGCCACCATTTCTTATCTTTCCGCCATTTTGAACATGTGCTGTATAGTACGAGAATATTTAATGAACAATCTGTGTAAGTTTGAGTTTGAAAGATATAGTAAACACGTAAAAAACGACGGATTCCGAACATATATTTGGAGGTCCATATTTTAAGCGTTTTCATGATAGCAAACACGAGGTATCCGCCCTTTGCTTGATTATTGCTAATGCCGAACGCCAAGCAGGGAAAAGCTACCATTTTTAAGGACTTTGGTAATAGGAACGAAATTTTCGTGATGACCGAACTTTAAAGCAGGTTAATAGTCATATAGTTAACAGGCGTTTGAAATAAATCGAAGGTATTTTGTTCGTTTGGGATATAACGTCATCGCAACAGCCAGGGTCATATGAGGACGGGATCCGATATAGACACCGGCTGAAACTGCAAGTAGAAAGAAAAGAAAGAAGATCGGAAAGAAAGGAAACGAAAGAGATCCCAAGTGTTGCAATGGGGGACAACACAATCTTGGTCTCTTCCATGCCCCTTTCGTAAAAGACACGAGATAAAATCCGATTCTGTAGGGGTCCTACATTAGTCACCTTTTACAATAAAATGCAGTGGGATACATACAGCAGGCATATTCTTGATTTCCATAGAAAGAGTCTATGAAAAAACCCGATTTTGCAGGTGGGTACACCAAAGGTTTGTTTGTTTGTTTGTTTGATTTTGTTTAACGTCCTATTAACAGCTAAGGTCATTTAAGGACGGCCTCCCCTGTGTGCAAGATGCATGCGTGTAGTGTATGTGTGTGTATTTTGGGAGGCTGCGATATGTTCGTGTTTGTCTCCTTGTGATAGCGCAGAACTGATGCCGACTTTATAGTGCTACCTCACTGGGACATACTGCCGAAGACACCCAGCAGGACGCCCCACCCGGTCACATTATGCTGACAACGGGCGAACCAGTCGTCCTATTCCTAATTTGCTGACCGTTAAGCAGGAGTAGAAACTACCATTTTTAAAGACTTTGGTATGTCTCGGCCAGGGGACAGAACCCAAAACCTTCCTCACAGGGGCGAACGCTCAACAAATGGCCAAAAGTGAGGCTTTGTCAAGGGAGACATTAGGAAGAAGAAAGTTATTTAGAAAGGAGAGAAGAGATAAGGTCACAAATTTAGTCGCCTCTTACGATCATGCAATTGGGGGCAGCAGGTACAATTCTTACGCCCTACCTGCAGGGACCTACACCAAAGGTAATAGGAATATCCTTTAAGCTTTCCATTTTCAAAACCTCTTACACCAAAGGTAATAGGTTTTGAAAATGGAAAGCTTAAAGGATATTCGTTTCAAGTAAAAATATGTTGGAAATAATTCGCAGATGATATCCACCATCCGAAGCAGGAATGGAGATGCACTTATTATGAATCATCTATAATTCAGATATAATTGCTAATTTTGACTAAAAATAGTAGGCTCTTAAATTATTATTAAATGCATAATGGCCCATCAACACAGGACAGGTCATTAGGGCCAACAAATGGCCGAAAAAAACCCAATGCAAAATAAAAATATCAAACACACTTAAAGGTTAAAAGACAAACGTCAAATTGAATATTAAGAGTGGTTATGATGACTCAAAGTGTCTTTAAAAGACCAATAGCTTCCAGATAGCCTAAAATTAAAGAGACAGTTATGTTTTCGAAAAGAGATTTAAGACATATAATGTTATTATAGAAATTTTCTCGAATTAACTTAAAGTCGACACAATCTAATAAGATGTATTTTACTGTAAATGGTTCCTGACACGCTATGCATTGAGGCTGGACGTTTAAGTAAATAACAATATGTAATGACCCATCCGAAGACGGGCAAGGACAACCTAGTCTCGGCGTCTCTCTCTGTAGCTAGGGTGCCATTCACCGAGTTTAGGTTTAATAGAATGTAATTTTTTATCTACGCATGATTGCAATTATTTTGCCACTGTGATCTTAGAAATGTTGTAATTAGTGGTTTAAAATCAGTAAAATGAAGTTTAAAATCTTCAGGTGGAGGTAATAGTTTTGCTTTCGCAGCACGATCTGCCATTTCATTACCTGATATTCCCGCATGTCCAGGAACCCAGCAAAAGGTTATATGACATTTAGAGAAAAAGATGAGGTTGCTGATAAGTAAATTGACCAACAATTCAAATACTAATTAAAATCCGGAACAAGCAACCAAATAGTGATGCTATGCTGGCTGTATCCGGCATGGTATTACAGGGAGATGACACTATAAAGCCAGCACCAGACCCGCGCGACGACAAGGAGGCAAGTACATCAACATACCATGTCTCTGGCACACATATACACATGCATACCTACACAACGCACATGGAGGCACGTCCTTGAATGACAATAGCTAAGGTCACTTAGAGGCGGGAGGCACTGTCGCCTAGTGTTAGGACGCCGGGCTCGTGATCGAATGGTTGCGGGTTCGAGTATCGGCACGGCACTGTGTTGTATCTTTGAGCAAGATGCTTTACTCCGCTTGTTTCAGTCTACTCAGCTGTAAATGAGTACGTGGTCGGGCAGCGCTAGAATTGTTGAATGCTAGCTGTGAGCGCTGAAATGGAAGTTCCGGCTGTATGCTTCCCAGGGAGTTTAGAAAGATAGTGGCTGGTTGAAAACCACGGATAATAGTTTGTGAAACAATTTGAGACTACCTACAAACTGGTTTGTGATAAAGCGGTATATAAGAACCTCTAATATTATTATAATTACATCAGATGATGAACCTAAATGTGGTGTTGCTTTTCCATTGTAACAAATACCTAGACATGTTCTGATATGCATTTTTATATTTTCTGCAAAAGTGTACACAACGTCACCCGGTTTAAAAGTTCCGCTGTATTCCGTCATCCAAACAGAAATTGACAAAATTACGTCGAGAAGCAAAATATATAACGTTATAGTAAAACATAGCCAAATGTGTTGGAACAATACATTAAATCTATTCAGCGATTCGATCAGGGGATTACAAGCGATGAGCTACAGCCAAAAAGGGTTTCGTGTGCCGGGGTAATATACATTTTTTGTATAATCAGAGTGTGAAATACGATACTCTGTACGGCAAGGCTGAAACCACGCTGTATGTAAGTGCTGTCGCGCTTTTACCTCACAATGGCCCCTGTTAACAATTTTAAACAACTCGCTGCTAAAGCGTTTACTCTCGTAAACCTATTGTAAATTAATGCATTATATACGTAGCGGATAGCATCTTGATCAGCCAGAAAATATCGTTATTTCAAGTCACTTCACTGTGAGAAAGATGGCTTTATCGAGGTCAGATAACAGATAGGGGTGATGAATGCCTACAAAGGTTGAGGGTGCGATCGTTACACATTATTACACGAACATTCAGGTTATCAAACCTTTTGAATTGATAAGCGCTTTAAAATAATATATATATACCATTAATTTAGGTCTCTGGTTTCATGGTTACTTTTTTTGAGAATTTGTCTGCATTACCTCCCTAGTATAATCACCTGACTTTGGATAAGGTTGTTAAGTTAGAGTGTCTGGTCCGTAAATCCTAAATTTGCTTTCAAAATTACTGTGATTAAGTTTGCTTTCAAAATTACAGTGTTTAGGATTTAAACACCAGACTTGTTCTTGTTCTTATCTTGTTTTCAGTCCTTTGTGTCTACTCATGGTGAATACAAGCAATAAGACTACGTAGGTACGTGCAGTAAGGTACATTGGACAAGGTCCGTATATCCGTACGAACTATAATCACCAAACCGTAAAGAATGTTTGAATACAATGACGGTGCACAGATATGATACACATATGTCGCCAGTTGATCTATCAATAACTATAAATAGAAACACGTACACAGCTGAACAAAGAACAATATAAAGTCTTTACAAGAAGAAAAACAGCGATTATCATTCAGCTACAACATTAAAGGTAGATTCGGGCAGTAATGGACACTTGCTTTGTACCAATACAAAATATATTGACATTGATAAAATGTTTTCTGTGTTTTTAGATGAGCTACACAACTTCCTGTAAGTTGACTATTCTTTATGGAATATGGTATACACCTGAATATACCAGTACACAGGTAAAATGGCTTTACATATCCCTTAAAATATCTACCACAAGTCTACTTCTGTAGCTAAAATACGTATAGTAACACTTCCGTTTATACATTCATACATTAAACAATGATTAGTGTGTACAAGGACTACCACGTTTGATAAAAAAATAGGTAAGAGAAAACACCTACCTGTAAACACGATCGCTAAAACAGTCAGTGTGTACTAGTCGACTTCCTGTAACGGGTATAGGGGCTACAAACCGTATCGTTAGCCCCACTAGACTACAGCCGCTAAGCTTATCTAAAAATAAAGGACAATGTTTATTCGGATCACGTAAACGCTCGTAGCTACTTATATAGTAACCATCATTGGGTAGATTTTTCAAATAACAAGAGGCACAAAGGGCCTGTATCGCTCACCTGGCTATTACAATGATTAGGCGAAAGCATTTGAGAAGATATATTACAAATGTTGTTTCTTGTTTCAGTTTTGTGCAAGTGAAACAACATTGTTCTCTATAGCTATGTAATATAGCGTTAGTTGTGTGAATATATGATTGAAAGGGTATTAAGTTGATAAAAAATGGTGTATGCTGCACGAACGGATGGACGTTATTCCACCATACTTAACTTCTGTCAAATGTTAATGGGTGTTTAAACTGATGTTTGTATTCAAAACAAAAACAATCATTATGAAGGAGTGATATTTATTGGCATGGTACACTATAAATTGCAATGACTGAAATGACATAAGTCAAATGGACACGAAGAGCATCAACACTTAATGAAAGATAAGAATGCAAGTGCGTTTATGTCAGGTTACCTACATAGTTTGATAATATAATGACAATGTAGGTTCGATAGGTATTGGAAAAGGATGAAAATACAAATGAAATGATCAATTTGCTATTGTATGATTATATTAGCCTGGTAGACTTTATTTTAATAAGTATATGACTAGAATACGGCGACAACAGAATAGGCTTCAGAATGTACCTGAAACCCATAGCTTAACCTGAGTACTACATTAATATTGAATTTCTGCTTATATCCTCCAAATGAACAAACATCAACTTTTTTAGATATTATTAAACTGTAGTGAAGGAAATCTGCTGAGCAGTTTATGAGATAAATTGTATGTTTTTCAAGGAAGATGTTACAAATGGATGACAGAATGAAGTCACTAAAACTAAGCTTTTATTTCATTTCATAGGTACATTTGCCCAGCAGGGACAAATGTAACATATGTGATAGAAGAATGAATTATTTTTCTTAAACTAGTACATAAATTGACATTAGAGGCGCATTGTTTCAGCAGGGAGAAATGTCACAAATGGGATATAAGAACAAATGGATGATAGAATGAAGGTACTTCACATCATGGGTTCATTTTCCCATCTGGCAGCAATGTAACAGATGTGCTAGAAGAATCAAAATTCTTCCATATCTGTGGCATGATCACAAGCGAATTTTCCCAGCAGGGATAAATGTCACAAATGGACTATAAGAACAAATGGATGATAATACTAGTAAAACTAATAAAACTAAGGTTCACTCCCCCCAGCCGGGAGAAATGTAACCGATGTGTTTGAAGAATAAATCTTCTTCGCCCATATCTTTGGCATCACATGCGCATTTTCCCAGCAGGGCGACATGTCATAAATGGGACATAATATATATAAAAACCCAAATAAGATTATAGAATGAAGGTACTAACAAAACTAATAAAACAACGCTTTTATTTCACATCATAGGTTCATTTTTCAAGCAGGGAGAAATGTAACAGATGATCAAGAAGAACAAATCTTCCTCCATATCTTAGGCACGATGGCAAGCGGATTTTTTCCCAGCAGGGAGAAATGTCACAAATGGGCTATAAGAAAAAATGGATGATAGAATAAAGGTAATAATAAAACTAAGCAAGAGGCCCAGAGGGCCTGTATCGCTCACCTCAATTTGTTTAAAATAATTGGTATGAAGTAAAGATATAGCACTCCATGGTAGGTGCTGTAAGTACATATGACATTTCAGAAAGATCCATCCAGTACTTGAGATATAGCGAGAACAAACTTCAAACAGAGCCCAATCCCTATGCCTCTAGGGAGTCATACCCAACAATTATACAAAATTGAGTCCTCTTGACCCAAGGATGCTCCAGACTAAATTAGGATAATATCCCATAATCCCTATGGTAGAAGAAGGATTATAAAGGTTTTTACCTCTATTTCCCCTATTGGGCCCCACCGCTCAGGACCCAGGGGACCAGTCTCACCGTTTATACAAAATTGGTTCCCCTTCACCCAAGGATGCTTCAGACCAAATATGGACCAAATCCTTTCATTCCTACAAAAGAAGAAGGAGGATTTTAAAGAATTTGCTATGTTTCCCCTATTGGGCCCCGCCCCTCAGCCCCCAGGGGTGTGGGTGGGTGTGTGGGGGGCAGACCCACCGTTCATACCAAATTTGGACAAAATACTGTTATTCCTACAGAAGTAGAAAGATTTTGAAGAATAATTTGTTATGTTTCCCCTATTGGGGGCCCGTCCCTCAGGCCCCTGGGGTGCCAAACCCACCGTTTATACAAGATTGGTTCCCCTTTACCCAATGATGCTTCAAACCAAATATGGACAAAATACTTTCATTCCTACAGAAGAAGAAGGAATTTAAAGAATTTGATATGTATTGGGCCCCGCCCCTCAGCCCCAAGGGGGGCCAGACCCACCGTTTATACAAAATTGGTTCCCCTTTACCTAAGGATACTTCAGACCAAATATGGAACAAATCCTTTCATTCCTACAGAAGAAGAAGGATTTTGAAGAATTTGCTATATATTCCCCTATTGGGCCCAGCCCCTCAGCTCCCAGGGGAGGGGGGGGGGGGGGTCCCCTTTCCCCAAGGATGTCCTGACCAAATTTGGTCAAAATCTGCCAAGTCGTTAATGACTAGTAACGTTATAAAGAAAATGTTGACGGACGGACGACTGACGCTGCGGTATGGCATAAGCTCACCATGGTCCTTCGGACTAGGTGAGCTAAAAAAATAAGCTTTCATTTCACATTATAGGTTCATTTTCCCAGCCGGGAGAAATGTTACAGTTGTGATACAGGATTAAATGTTCTTCCTAAACTGTATAGTAAATATAATTTCTTTGACATCACAGGCGCATGTGGGGCATAGAAATAAATCTTATTTAACACACATAAAGAAAGTTTGATCACATAGTTAGGTTGATTTTCCCTGTCAAGATAAATGTAACAGATGACCATGTGTGTGAAAAATATATATAGCTTCCTTCTGAACAAGCAAAACTGATATTCAACATAAAGGCTCATTTTCGAAGCCGGGAGAAACGTAAAGTCAAACGATTGTATTTTTTTGATACGCCTATTTCTGAAGTTTCACAGGAAATGTTTCAATGAATCAATAAAGAAATCAAAAATGTATACACAATATACATTTACAGTAAACTTATGAAGACAATACAAACAGCATTGTGTAGATAATGTGTTGAAAAGCAGTCAATAGCATCATTCATAAATTTGACAAAGTTAAGTTATGGATTTTTTGAATAACATTGTCTTGACCATATGTGACTGATACAGATTCCAGTTCCAGGAGGAACTCTTCTAATCAATTTCCCATGGCTGTGATAAATGCAGTCGACACATTGTATATTGTTACTTTGACCGTTTTCGAGTCAGTGGCAGAAGTGATAATCAACGTGCCACTCATGGAGGTTTTCATAGATGATATTTTCTGCTTCATGTTGCAGAAGCAGCACCTGAAGAATGTTGAGTTTTCATTTATTTGGTCTCCAACATTCTTTTTGCATGCCATGCACATTTTTGTTGGTGTAATCATTATTTGCGATAATTCACCAACAACTGTTAGGGAGATAGGTGTGCGGCTAATTTCAATTTTTATTACATCTTGCTGGTGACTGGGAACTTGAAAGTTCTAGTTGTCAGATTGGTAAGTTTGTACACATGGTCAGGTACTAATCTATCTGTCAGTTGGTCCCAAAGGGTAACAGTGATGAAACTTGGAATTGTCAGCCAGGATGATGTCTTGTTTTGACATCTAAATACCACGTACTTCTTGGTTGGTTAAATCACTTTGGTCACTTTGGCTAGAATGGCAACCTGTAAATTATAAAAAGACCATGATTATGAGATCAATGATAAATTTGATTTCCAGTCATGGTTTAGATAACAAGACGCCCATGGGTTTTAATTAGTTTGGGAATTCCCCCGGAAAGTTGAGACAATCTGGGTTTTGCAAGACGACTTTGTATATATATATATATATAAACTTATTTTTGTTTTAGACGACTTTCATTGATTTTACAGCTTCTGAAAATTGCTGGTTTTTGGAAGCTAAAAAATCCATGAACTTTGGGGAAAAATAAAAATGGTTCAAACAAATGCAGCAATTTTTCGGAAGCAAATTTGTCTGCGCTGTACGCACCAATGTCGGTTGGGATACATCATCTGTTTATCCCATGCGTCCATGGACACGTCCCGACTGAAGTTTGTATTGCTTGTCAAGTCATGCAAGTCGCTGGAAATTGAACGCGACTTGAAATTTAAAAAAAAATGGCGGAGCATGGCAGGTGAGCCACACTCAATGAGGTATACAGGTAAACTGACCGAGATATGGGTGCACAAAGGCAGTGAAGCTTGACAATAGGATTATGATTTATTGTCACTAATTAATTAATGCCTCGGGGATGAAGAATTAGGTTGTGTCAGTTTAAATCTGGGCAGTGGGCCCACTTATTGCGTGGTAATGTTAGCTGTGTTCACACACTACAATCAAAATTACGTCCTTTATTTACTTGGTCTGCTTTGTATAACAATTGGTGTGATTTATCATATTTCTGTTTCCGAAATACCAGATTTTTTTTGTGTTCATCTGTTACCGATCAATCAGACAATCAACTTCTTGGCTACTACACATACACAAAGCAAAATCTAACTGGCAGTAGATATTTACTTAAAATGATCAGATACTTCCTTCTTATATTATTTGAATGATACTGTTATCAAACCATTTATAGTACAGTTTATCAATTGCGTGGTTTCACGTGCTGACTGTTAACTTCAATACATGTTTGGTTGTAAATTCCTACGTTTATCGAGACGCAAAGACATAAAAAAGACATGAACATTATATACTAACAAAATACCACAGATAATTGACTGTCAATTTACTTAATCATGTGCAGTACTGATCAAAGGATTAAAAAGAACCACACCTGTGCC